AAAAAAAAAAAAAAAAAAGGAAAGAAAGAAAGAAAAATGAGTTCCGGTCAGCTGTTGGGAACATCCGTGTACTCTGGCCTATGGAAGACTACATATTACAGAGTACAGGAATCTTACATGCTCTGGGAGACATTCCTCTTACTAGCCTGGTGTGGCAGACTTTCCTGGGGAAATACAATACACACATCTACTCACCCTAGAATGGGAGCCACAACAAAACAATTGCACCAATGTCCAATTTATTGATCCAGTGAGATTTTTTTTTATTGGGGTTACTAACAGGAGTATGGTGAGGGGTTACTTGAAAGGAGCAGGGATAACTAAAAAACAGTTACATCACAAGAACCTGTGTGACAACTCCTTGGAGGTTTCTATAAAGCTTAGAGGTAGCTCCACTGACCTGGACCAGCAAACCAAGGTCCCAAGAGAATCAGGAAATCAGAAGATAAAGAGATAGGAAAGTTTGGCATCAGGAGATCTTCCACAAGCTGTCTTATCCCAAGCAAACTTATTCAGAAGTACAGAATCATATATACTATTTCCAGGAGAGAAATGGGATGGAGTCAGCAGAAACTGTCACACAATTGGAGGAAGTTAGCAGGAAGCTAGTCAAGCAGTGTTGCACTAAGGGAACACAGGGTATCTCAAGAGCATTATAGACTGAGTACCCAGCATCCTTGGAGCTATATCTCTTCAGGGGGAAAAGCTAAGTTCCCAGGAATTGAAACCTTAACTTCTTTGAGGCCCAGGTCCCTGCCCCGGACTGGGCCTTACTGAGTCTGTCCCTAGGCAAGGACACAGAACTAGTTCCTTTTGCCGTTTCATCAGGGCATCTGAGAAAGCCTTGGATCTATCTGGCTCTCAACACTCCACAGTCAGATCCTTTCTCATCTGTTTTCTTTCCACAGTTTGGCTGGTTAGTCTCTAATCCCAGCAACTATTTACTCCCTTTTATATTGTTGGTGGGGACTTTGAAGAATCTTCCAAGCTTGTGTTCTTCCGGAATGTGACCTTTTATTTACCTACTGTTTACCACCCATGGCTCTGAGCTCCCCATTTTTGCTGGGGCAAATGTTTCAATTTGGGGGGAGTGTTCCAATTCCAAAGAACATGCCATAGAACATAGCCCCTTTCCTCTGTGTCCTGTGGTCTTGTCTTTCTTGAAGCTCTTCCATGATCATTTTTCATGAGATGCAGAGTTCCAGGATGATAGTTATCTTACCCATATCATGTGGAATACATGCTTCTTTTGTTTAGGCTGCTTTCCTTTTGGCCTTGGTAGGCTGTGCTGTGGTGGACCTTAATCAGTCTCCTGGTACTGGAGCTTGATGTCTTTAATTCTTGCTGCCTATGTTCCTGGGGTTCTGAGTAGCTTAACATTAGAGCTTTCCACTGCAGGCCTTCCATTTCCCCTTTTGTGTTATTCTTCATACTAGATTTTTTAAAAAAAGTTTTCTTGAAGCAGTCTCACTGCAGAGTCCAGGCTGGCCTCAAACTCTCCATTTTCCTGCTTTAGCCTTCTAAGAACTCAAGAACTGAGATAACAGTTGTATGTCACCATGTGCAGTTCCTCAACATTTTAGTCATTCATTCTCTTGACTTTATTCACTGTTCTAAATCCTATTCAAGTTCTTTTTTTTTTGAGGTAGGACTTTACTATGTAGCTCAGACTGGCCTTGAACTCATAATGATCCTCCTGCCTATCTTTCAGTGCTGGGATTATAGGCTTGTACCACAATACCCAACTCTACCTATTCAATATTTATTTATTTATCTAGTTTTTCAAGACAGGGTTTCTCTGTGTAGCACTGGCTGTCCTGGAACTCACTTTGTAGACCAGGCTGGCCTCGAACTCACAGAGATCTACCTGTCTCTGCCACCCAAGTGCTGGGATTAAAGGCGTGCGCTACCATGCCTAGCATATCTATTGAATTCTTAATTTGGGTTACTGTCATGGCTAGTTTTAGAATTTTTTTTTTATTATTTTTTATGTTTGGGGTTTACTCTTAGTCTAGTCTAGAAGTGGCTTCTAGATTCTTATCTATTTTTGTTTGTTTTTATTGTGCTACAACCCCTAGGTATAGTTGCTTTTGGTTAAACCCCAGACTTCTTGTGAGAAACAGGAATGGACTGGATAGGCTTAAGGTAATCATTTACTTCCTGCTTCCTCCCTGCCTTGCAGGCCTGAGAACATTCTTTCTTCTGCAGGTGGATGATGAACTGGAAATCAAGGCATACTATGCAGGCCATGTGCTGGGGGCAGCCATGTTCCAGATTAAAGTGGGATCAGAGTCTGTGGTCTACACGGTCAGTAGAAGTACTTGGCTTGAGTTAAATTGCTGGGAGTAGAAAGACATCTTACTTATTGCCATTTTCTTTGCCAGGGTGATTATAACATGACCCCAGACCGGCATTTGGGGTGAGTAGGCCTGTGTTTCACCCTGTGGGAATTTCCTGGGAGTTAGTAGATCTAAGAGACATCATGGTGGGTATATAAATGCTCAGCACCCACCATGGTCCTCCCATGCAGTGTGGAAGTACCTTTGGAAGTCTGGGCTAGAGGTTTTTCTCCCCTGTTGTTTCCTCCAGAGTATGCTGCCATGATATTTGATAGGCCATATAGAGGAGCTCATGTCTGGATGAGCTAAAAATGTGCTGTGATGGAGCTATAGTCCACTTTGCCACTTTGCTCCCAATTCTGTAGCCATGAACAATCCACCATGACCATTCCTGTTTTAGGGCTGCATGGATTGACAAATGTCGCCCCAACTTGCTCATCACAGAATCCACGTATGCAACAACCATCCGAGACTCCAAACGCTGCAGAGAGCGAGATTTCCTTAAGAAAGTTCATGAGACTGTGGAGCGTGGTGGGAAGGTATTGACTATAGGCAGGCTCTGGTGTGTGGCTACTGTGGCCACACAGTATAGGTTTCCCAGCAGGCTTCACTGTCCTACATGTGGTCAGGGTCTCTGGGTTTGGGGGTTACTGTTTATTTGGCATTGAGATGACAGATTCTAGAGAGTCTTCCATTCCCTGGTGCTTGCATCCCATGAAGAGCTGTTCAAGAGCCTCCCACAATTCCTACTATTTCTACATGTGGCTGGTGTGTGTGTGTGTGTGTGTGTGTGTGTGTGTGTGTGTGTGTGTGTGTGTGTGTGTGAAACCTGTAGTTCTTAGATGTCTGGCTATTCCTTTGCAGTAATGCTATCTTTGAATGCTATCATTCAACCTGCCAGCAAGGGTATAGTGAGCATATGGTACCTGCTGTGTTCACGGAAGGGTAGTATGGCCAATGGCTCCCACCTGAATCAGCCTCACCACCCTCAGGTGTTGATCCCTGTGTTTGCACTGGGCCGGGCACAAGAGCTCTGCATCCTGCTGGAGACCTTCTGGTAAGTACAAACAGAAATATTCCACAGGTGGGCAAGAAAAGATGGAACAGCCTCTGCATAGAGAGTAAGTTCCTTATACTGCCAGGCACAGGGGAACTGTCGAGAAGTCAAGGCAGCAGTGACTACCACTGGGCACTAGATGCCCTGCTGTTTTGGATGGAGCTGTGCATGTGTTGGGTCATCACATTTAAACCATTATCTGAAGGCTGTATTGGTCACTGCATGAATACTGAGTCTCCTCACATGAGCTCTGGGGACCCCTACCACTCCCATGTTTGTTTTATAGAACACAAGCTGAGAGGTCTGGCCTGGGGGTCATCAGAGTAGAGATAGCATGGGGTTTAGTTCAAGGGACATTGAACTCAGCCCTGGCCATAGCTACTAAGCAGTGCAGTAGAGGGCACAGGGACACATGTTGCAGGCTAACTCTGGCCTCCTTGTACTGACTGGGCTGGTGGACACGCAGGGAACGCATGAACCTGAAGGTGCCCATCTACTTCTCTACGGGCCTGACAGAGAAGGCCAACCACTACTACAAGCTCTTCATCACCTGGACCAACCAGAAAATACGTAAGACATTTGTCCAGAGGAACATGTTTGAGTTCAAGCACATCAAAGCCTTTGACCGGACATTTGCTGACAACCCAGGTCCCATGGTAAGGCCCTGGCAATGCAGCTTCTCCACATCTGGCCTTAAAGGATCTCTGCCCGTGGGGTTCCAGGAAGGACTACTGGTCAAAGGTCTAGTGCTTATTGCAGCCCTGGGTAAGGTCTATTCTCTTGACCCTTGTCAACCCTGCAGGTTGTGTTTGCCACACCTGGGATGCTGCATGCTGGCCAATCTCTGCAGATCTTTCGAAAGTGGGCAGGAAACGAGAAGAACATGGTGAGGGTTTGGGGCCAGTTCCCAAGTTGGCTACAGGGGCTCATTATGGACTTAGGGAACTGGAGTACAGAAGGACTGGCCCTTGAACTTTGTGTCTTGACCCATGATGACTCTACTGCTGTGTTCTGCTACCAGCAGCCCAGACTGAGCAACTGGCCTGCTAACAGACAGGTCCTTAGCTTCCTGAGCATGGTTGGCTCCAGGCCAGGGGTTGTCCCAAGAGGAAGTATCTATTTTGGGAAGCCATGCAGCTGAATCTCACCTCTGCTTTCAGGTTATCATGCCTGGTTACTGTGTTCAGGGCACTGTGGGCCACAAGATCCTTAGTGGGCAACGAAAGCTGGAGATGGAGGGGCGTCAGGTGGTGAGTACCTCCCTGTTCTGGGCTCAACAGGGCTTCCAGGCTTTTGCTGCTGCTAACTCTGCCTGCATCTTGTGATGCCACAGCTGGAGGTAAAGATGCAAGTGGAATACATGTCATTCAGTGCCCATGCTGATGCCAAGGGCATCATGCAACTGGTGGGACAAGCAGAGCCGGAGAGTGTGCTGCTGGTGCATGGCGAGGCCAAGAAGATGGAGTTCTTGAGGCAGAAGATTGAGCAGGAATTCCGTAGGCAGCTGGTGGGCAGGGTTGGCCTGTGGGATGGTACCAGCAGGCTGGCAGCCTAGACTGAGGCTCTGTATCACTTTCCTCAGGGGTCAGCTGCTACATGCCGGCCAATGGTGAGACAGTGACGCTGCCCACAAGCCCCAGCATCCCTGTGGGCATCTCCCTGGGGCTGCTGAAGCGGGAGATGGTGCAGGGTATGAAGGGCAGACTGGGACATGGGCCAAGGGAGGCAGGTAATTGATGGCTTGTGTTGACTGCAATTTCCTTTCCTCACAGGACTTCTCCCTGAGGCTAAAAAGTCTCGGCTCTTGCATGGCACACTAATTATGAAAGACAGTGTAAGTGTGTAAAGAGTGATGGAGTGGGGATAGCATTCATTACTTCCCCTGACCTGCTTGCCCTTGCCCCACAGAGTTTCCGGCTGGTATCCTCAGAGCAAGCCCTCAAGGAGTTGGGCCTGGCTGAGCACCAACTGCGCTTCACCTGTCGTGTGCACCTGCAGGACACACGCAAGGAGCAAGAAACAGCCCTGCGTGTGTACAGCCACCTCAAGAGGTGCGCCCTAGCCTTGCCCCTACCCCTACAGGCAGGGTGAGGCAGACATCTTACTATACCTCTCCACAGCACCCTCAAAGACCACTGTGTACAGCACCTCCCTGATGGCTCTGTGACTGTGGAGTCCATTCTTATCCAGGCTGCTGCCCACTCAGAGGACCCTGGTACTAAGGTACTACTGGTCTCCTGGACCTACCAGGTAAGGAGGATATGCATCAATGGTATGCCTGTAGACCTCCCTTCTTTGGTATTGTGTTGTCTGTGGGTAACTGTGCTTCCCTCTTCCCTTTCTTCTAGGATGAAGAGCTGGGAAGCTTTCTCACAACACTTCTCAAAAATGGCCTCCCCCAGGCACCCAGCTGACATGTACCAGCAACCTACCACTCTGTCTCTTGCTGTTTGCCCAGCAGAAGGACCAGGGATTTGGCTTTGGGAGGTGGGTGCCCTGAGTAAATGGAAACCATAATTGGGCCACAGACTCTGTCGTAGGGACAAGACCAGAGTCACAGGCTGGCTAAAGTAATAAACAAGCCTTTTTGTTCGCTATGCCTTTTATTCCTACTCCCTTGCCCCAAGAAGATGGGGTTTCCAGAAAAGCAGAACCAGAGGCTACTAGGGTGCTTGCTTATAGCTGTTTCTTGCCTGGTACCCCATCCTTTAGTGACAAAGGGATGTCCACAGTGGAAAGATTGGGGATGTGGGAGCTGCTGGAAGGTAGGCAGGACTACCAGAGCCCCATATAGCTGTGGATTAATCTCTGCTGAATGCAGTAAATGGACAAGGCTGACAGCCAGACTTAGTATGCTGTATGGTTCTTCACTTCCAGAGTGTACAGTCAGCTGGGTTTCCACATTGGACCTTACAGGGCTCAGGATGTAGGACCTATGGGTAGACCCTAAGTCAGAGTAGAACTCCTACAGTTGTATCCAGAAACCCCACTTACCCCTAAAATCTGACCCTGTGAACCCACTCAATCCATGCCACCATGCTTTTTGATCACTGATCCCTAACTGAAGTCCTTTTCCCCACTGACAGTGCTTAGATTCTCACCTAGTATAATGGGGGGTTTGACTATCTCCAAAAGCCCCCTCCCCTCAGTGAGGACCCAGCTCTTTCCTATCCCATCCCCTCTTACCAAAGTCATCATATAACACTGACTTCAAGAACAGGCCACGGGCTGGGGCAACTCGAGCCTGATACTTGCCCAGGGGATCTTGACTCTCCAGAATTGCTTTCACCTGTGTGGGTGTCAGAGTCCCTTGCCCCACAGCTACCAGCACAGCTGTCATCCTCCGTACCTGCAGCAGAGAGCTGAGATGGTCACAGGTATCTACCTGAGCGCACCTTGGGAGGGTCTAGTACAGCCTACCTGTCGATATAGGAAAGACTGGCTTTCAAACTCCAACGTCCAGAACTGCAGCCTCCTAGGAACACAGACAGCTTTGATGTCCAAGCTACAAGTCAGCCTCAGCCACCCTGGCCCACCATGTGGCCTCAGACAAGACAAAGATTTAAGTACTGGTTTAAAGGCTCATCCATCCAGGGTGGGTTCTTGCCTAGTTGACCACCAGTTCCAGAGGGTAAATGGGTATTGCATGACTTTTCCTGGAGTCTATATACGCCATATAAGAAAACAACTATACAACAGAGTCATCAGCCTGTGCACAGTAGATAGCAATTGCTTTGAGCCTTCCTTCATGTGGAGGGGCCACAGTAAGGTTGCTGAGGCCAGACATAGCCAGCCCACCTATCAAGATGGAACCTTGGGGGCTAGAGAGATGACTCAGTGTTTAAGAGCACTGGCTGCTCATCCAGAGGAGGGTTCAGTTCCCAGCATCCACATGGCAGCTCACAACTGTCTGGAACTCCAAGATCCAATACCCTTACACAGACATACCTGCAGACAAAACACCAATGCACACAAAATAAAAATTGAAGTCCCTCCTCTCCTGGAGGCTGGTATCAGCTGCAATGTTCTCAAGGTCAGCAGCTGGCACCCCAGTGGGAAGTCCACTAGGCAGTGCTTGACACAGAGAACTTCAACAGTCTGTCAAACTGGACCGGAACTACTAGCTCCAGTGAAACCTTTTCAGTGACAGTGTAGTAGAGATATCTGCTACAAAGAGCTATGGGCATGGCAATACCCTCAGAAAGGCAACATTTTCTACCCTGTGTTCCCCAGCCTGTCAGGGACCCCCAGCCAGACAGGAAGACTACTGGCTCATCCCTTCTAAGTGGCCAGAACCTTCCATCCTCCAGGACTTATGGATGACCAGTATACAGTTTAGCACCATCCCACTTTTTTTCCCCTCAAGACAGCTAATTTAACCCTGGTGGTCTAGAGACCACCACGAGGCCATAGTTCAAAGTCCCTCTTCTCACCTGCTCTCCTGGGGGAGGACAAATGGACTGGCTGGACCAGAAGACACGGAGACTCGTTGTAGAGTGCGCACAGTATTTGTGGCTGGGCTGCCAGCAGACTGGAAAGCACTGAAATCATGTGTCCCCAGGAGGTGCTGGGCAGCCTCCTGCATGGCAGCCACATCCAGGCACCTGCAAACCCAGATAAGCATTGAGGAGGGCCCAGCCAGATGGATGGTGAGCCTTTTCCTCCCCATTAGTTCACTCACGTTGTCTGAAGAGCCCAGCATACATTTTGTTCAAACACAGGCAGCTGATCAGGCCAGGGGCAGCCTGTGGCCAGACGGTATAGGTAGGTTCTGGAGGTGGCTGCATGGCGAGCATGGAAGTCATTGGGCACTCGGAAGGCCTTCAGTACGCTGTGGCAAGCAGATCCGAGGAATGAGTCTGCCCACCTGTCCACACAGCACCCGGGAAATCTCCCACTCACCTCCAAGTTGCCCAGAATACAATGTCTTTCTGGACCTCAGCCTTCCTTCATAGTGGGGTGTGGGGTATATTAATAAACAAAAAACAGAACCACACTCAATCCCAGGCTCACCGAATGGCCCGGTGCCTCAGGTGGGTGTTGAGGGCCTGGGCCACGACCTCTGGGGAGTAAGGCGGCAGGCCTGAGCGGCGATGGATGTCCAGGTGTGCCGCGTTGCTCAGGGCGTGCACTCCGGCATCAGTGCGGCTGGAGATAGTAAACCTGACGGGCTCGACCGAGTTCAGCCTCTTGGCGGCCTCCTGCAGGGGCAGGGTGCAGGCAGGCAGTCACAGCGGAGGCCAGAGCCCATGGAACAGTAGGAGTGCGGGCAGGGTTTGAGGCTGTCTGCTGCTTCTACCCCGCCAACCAGTCATCGCTCTGAGAGATGAGGTAACAGCTCACCTCCAGGAAGTTCTGCACCCCAACAGCGCGATGGTTACCCCTCACGGCCGCGACCCCACTGAGGAGAGATACGGGAGAGAGCGTCTGTGGGAGCTGTCCCGCCTGGGGTCTAGGTACCCACAGACGTTAGTACCGCCCAGACCTGTGTTGCTAGGCTCTTAAAATTGTGCATCCCGAGACCGGAGGTCCAGGCTGCAGATCGTGCCCCTCTTGGCTGTCTTGCAGACCTCCCGCGAGCCCGAGTGGAGGAACCGGAGGTGATGGCGGGGAAACCTACTTGAAGTCAGTGCCCAAGTACTGGAAGAACACAAGGTATCGCGCACGCACAGAACCCACAGCCCCGCAGGAACTCATGGTGGAGTAGCTGGAGGGCGGGGTGGTTGCACGTGGCCCGCGGTCCGCCCTGTCCAGCTGCAACGGCGCCTGCGCACTCACTCCTCTCACCCCGCCCGGGCGCAGGGACCGAGAAACGGAGGCGGGGCCAAGCTTAGGGAGCGGGTGCGAAGTGCTCTCCTCTGGGCCCGACTGGGCTCACTGTCCTCTGCCTCACAAGGGCGCGGTGACGTGTTGTTTCCGCAAGAGTGTCCTCCTTAATTTGTTCACCCCTTCGCTCCTTCACTCCCGATCTTCCCGCCGCCGTCCCGTTCTTCCAGAATGTGTCTGTCTACGCGTTCTGACCTAGTGCTCCCAAATGTTTTTTGTAAACTCCCTGAATTTAACCATGGCAGGGATGCCTGAAGTGGGAGAACAGCGCCCTTCCCTTTATCGCAGCCGAGTCAACCACTCGGGATCCCAACTGCCGCGGCCCGCCCAGCTCCCTGACCCTGGTGGCTGAGGACAGAGGGCAGTGACAGGCAACGGAGTGCAGCGGCGCATTTAGCGACGCTCCCCTAAAGTGACAGCGGGTGGTGCTAGCGGCAGCAGACTTTGGCGACGCTCCCCAGCGGTGACAGGCGGGGCGGGGCAGCGGCGAGCCGGCCTCATTCCGAGGCGGGCGGGCGCGGAGCGCTGCGCGGGTGCGACGGACCGTCTACCGGCCAGGGATGCCGCTCGACGCGTCGTGGTCCTCGGTCCAGTGAGCGTCGCTCGCCGCAGCCATGACGGTAGAGTTCGAGGAATGCATCAAGGACTCGCCGCGCTTCAGGTGTGCTGCGGGCCTGGGGTAGGGCACCAGCAGGGATGGGGAGCCGCCTTTGTGCCGGGGGCGGGGAAGGGATGCCCAGCAATCGTGACCGCTCCGAGTCCACCTGGACCGTGCAGAAGACCTGGCCTGGATAAACCGGCCGGAGCCGGAGTCGCGGTCCCCAAGCCGCACAGCTCCGCCTCCGGCCTCGGGGGACCGGAACAAAAGACGCCCCTGTACTGATCACCTCGCGCGGGGGTGAGTGCTTGGACTGCCTTGGGCAACCGTGTACTACTGGGCATTTGCGTTCAGTGCCACCTCTAGAACTGTCCACTTTCCTTTGTGTTTGTGCTTTCGTATGCCACAAGTACTGAGGTCCCCCTGGGCCCTGTAGTCCAGTTCTGGCTAGAACTGTCTGGCACTCTGCTTCGTCTGTCCCTGGTTTCTATATTGGCCCATATGTCCAGAGCAGTGTATAGGTGCAGCCAGCTGGAGCCATCAGACCCTGAGATGGGCACCTTGGTGAGAGTGAAGGGTGGTATGAGTGACCAGGAGTCTGGAGAGGTGGGGGCTGTGGGGATGAGGAAGTCAGGTTTAGTTGGGAGGGTACTGGCCTTGTTCACCTATGAGTTTGTTTCTTTTATTGTTCCTGGATATACAGTCGTGCACATATGTGTGAACCACACGGCCCCACACCAATATGCATGCTTCATTGGGTGACATTTGGCCAACAGTAATGGAGTACCTCCTGTGTGTCATTTGAAATTGCACACCTTCATGAGGTCCCCTACCTCTGTATGTGCATAGACATAGGGGAACATGTTCTGCCACTCTGCCCCTCCTTTGAGGAAGTGCCAGACCATGCACATGAATGTGTAGGTGAGTGTGATACTGAGTTGGTGTGTTTGATGCATGCATATAGTCTAGTGAGGGTGCACACACGTATGGGCATGTGCCACCTCTCTGTGGATTCATGAACCATGTTTGCCATGCCACTAGACACAAGTTGATGTATACAGGTATGTGTTTTAACATGGGTGTACATGTCCATGCATATGTGTGCACCATGTCCCTGGAACACATGTCTGTGTGCCCAGTGCTACTACATGCATGCATTTATGTTTATGTATAAGCTTATATCATGCTTTTGCACATGTGTGCTTAACCACCTATGCATGCTGGGCCTCTGGGGGCCTACCCCAGTCCAGCTCTTTTCAAACCACCTTGCAAGAGAGTCAGCAAGAAACACCTTAGGAGCCTTGGAGCATTAGAGTTAGCCAAGAGTGTCCACTGATTGTAGTCAGGGGACGTGAGGCAGTCATCTATGCTTTTCTATTTTCTACCGCTGAATGATTGAGTGCTCTGAGAGACTCAGATATCCCACAATTCTGCATCCAAGCTTGATAGAAAGCACAGCCAAGGCCTCTTTTCTGGGGACTTGGCCCCAGCTGAAGCACTCTTATCTGATCAGGATCTGCCCTGATCCTGAGAAGCTCTGGCTCCATTCTGCCTTGTGGAGGGGTTTGGGCCTAAGCAGAAATCCATGCACTTCTGGGCCTTCTTTGCTACAGCCAGACAGTTGGACTTGTGGGCTGCAGTAGGTGTGGCAGCTGCTTAGGCTTAACATTGCTTCTTTTGGTGGGGGGAGGGGGTGTTGGAGTGGGGGATGACTCTCTGGACTTTGGTTCTGGGGTCATGGAAACCTGGCTCAGTGATTTGGGGTGGGCTGTGATTTGATGGGTTTGAAGAATACCTTGTCCACTCTAAGGTGTTACTGAGGTTATAACTTGATCTTTCTGGCCAAGAACCTTTAGGGCAGCATGGGCCTGACAGAAGGATGTGGAAATGAGGTGGAGCCTAGACCCTAACCTGGAAATGGTGGGAGTTTTGCTTTGGGGCTCCTGGCCTAGGACAAGAGCTTGTGACAGCCTTAGGAATGTCTCATAGTCCCTGAAGCTGTGGGTGGGGGTGTAGGGGAGCCCCGGAAGAGAAGCCGCCCAGCCTTGGCTGCAAGCCCTGCCCTGGGTGGGGCTTTAAGCGCTGAGTCATGGCTTTGGTGAGGGGGCTCCTCCCCAACCTCCAAGCTGCTGAGGAAGTCCCTAGCTGGCAAGACAGGCATAGGGCAGGAGGGGCATGTCTCAGGTCCTTGGCTGAGGAAGGGACTGCTGAGAGACTCCTAGGACAGAGTGCTGGCTCCCTGAGCCTCTACTAAGTGCCCACCACGTTCCCACATCCCTGTGAGTACATATGTCAGCTCCTGGTGCAGCCCTCCCAGTTCCTGGCTCCCTGGCCAGCTGCAGCTCTACTTGCAGCTGTCTGGGCTGTCAGGCCTGCGTGGGGAAGCCCTGAATAGTGCTCTCCTAGGCAGATAGTTACATCTGTGTTCTGGGAACTTCTGGCTCTCATAGTGGCCAGAGTTCTGGACCAGAGCCTCCTGTAGTGGCCTGTGTTGGGCTCATAGCTAAAGGACATTTTTCCCAAGCAGGGCAGGCTGTGGGGTATCCTTTAGAGGCATGGCTGCCAATGGTTCAGTCAGATGCTGCTCTGTTGCTGCCTCTTCTCTGCTTTAGGATTCATGGTGCCTTGCCCTCAGGAAGGGATGAGGCTGATGGCCAGGACCTTTGAGGGTCCTGGCTAGGACAGCCTGGCCATTTCAGTCCCAGGTCATAATTGAGGACACACTAAACTATGTCCCATGTGTTTCTCAAGCCCTTTACTCAGGAGAAACCCTAGAACAGATCTTTCTCCTTATCCTTCTAGAGAGTAGGGGAGAAAGGGGTGAAGAGCTGCCAGGACTAGATGGCTTCCCCTCTGATACCCCACCCCCAGCCAGTGTAAGACTTGTTCCTAGAGGTTTGCCCTGGCCTATTATGTTCCCAAGATGCCTCTTCCCATGCAAGCCAGATGGGTGTAGCTCACCAGCTGAACTGATTATGTGAGGTGGGGGACTGCTGGGAGCCTGCCCTTATTTCCTTATTTCCTGTTCCCAAGTTGGAGTGGGGGGGGGGGGGGTCACGTGCCTGGTCCATCTGCCTTTGGCTTCCGGGATTCTCCCTGGCTTCTCCTGGTGATGTCATCATTAACTCCTCCCTCCCCAGGGCATCTTCTTTATCAGGCTGGATTGTTAAGGATGGGCTCTAAAGAGACCCATCTCTCCTGGCTGGACTGAGCTAGAGGGAGTCTTGAGGTCAAGGGAGATGGAGGTCCTTTTCTCACTACTTTGAGGCATTGTCCCTTAGCTGTTGGTTCATAACAAGCCTTCTTTAGTGTCATTTAACTATAGGCCAAAGTGGCCTGAAGTTGGGGCAAAGAAGTGAAAGACAGACTCTTTTCAGTTGAGGAGGGGCTGTCCAAATGGGGGTTCAAGTTCAACTTTGAGCCCCAGAGAAGACTGTCATGGGCACCAACATCATAGCATGAGACTTCAGCGTTATTATGCTTAGGTTCTAAGGACTTGCTTAAACTTGTGTTCATAGGGCATAGCTACACTATAGGGTGAGTGTGTGTGTGTGTGTGTGTGTGTGTGTGTGTGTGTGTGTGTGTG